TAAAAAATTATTTATAAACCATTCTAACTAAATGGTCTCTTAATATTAGTGAGAATTAAAGGAGGCCATCGATGGATTCCCCTTTGACGAACATACATTGCATTTGTAACCTAATACTTCGCTCTCCATATGTTGCGGCTAACAATGGCGATGAAAGGGAATTCATGTGTAAAGAGAACAATATCCATGATGACTTCCCCCAACAGATCACCTTGCTGTAGCTGGATAACTCCTCCCCACTTATCGCTTCTCTGCTGGATCCGTTGCTTCCACAAGATCCGACTATGTTCATGCATCGCCTTCCCCAGCCGTTTCAACACCAAGACCCACAAGCATGCCGCCGCCTTCCGGTACGATCCCCTCAGCTACGCCCTCAATTTCGACGACGGCGTCCCCCGACAACATCATCATCAGTACTTGTACCTGCATTTCTCCACCCGTTTTGCTTCCATTACGGCGTCTTCCGTGGATGGGTCCCCTGTTGCCAGATAATTAATTATATCGGCGAGATTACTAGAGCGAAGTTGCGCCGCCGCCTCGGCTTATGTTTATCATCTTGCGTGCTCCACAACAAACAACGACGGAGATTTTTGGCAGGGCGGCCGGTTTGGTGGGGGGAGCGAATCAACGTCACCCATCCATGTGGTAGTTTTTTTTTTTTTTAAAAAAAAATTCCCCATGTTTTATTGTATAACTAAATTCTTTAATTTTTAAGGATATTCCGAAATACCAAGACAATAATTGCATGGAAATCTGATATAATTACCTGTTCAAAAAATATTTCAATGAAGAATTTTCTTTTTTTAAAGAAAATCTTACTGAAAGATTTCATTTGGATGGAAAATATTCAGTTGAAAAAGGAATAGTCTTCTGTGAGTAAGTAATTTTATAAGCTCTATTGTTGTTGGGGAATTAAATTTTAAGAGATAACAATATAATAAATGGGCGGTGCCGCTGGAATAATCGAGTGCTGATATAGACGTCCAATGCTAGCATTATTACTCCAATTACAGCCCAATGAAGTTCAAAACGACATGATAATAGAAACCTTGAATGGCACTCACTTTTGGACCCCACAAAAAAAAGAATGGCACTCAGTTAAATTCAGACGAACTAAAATTAATTAACGAGCATGCTTGATTAAGAAATTAATTAGTACTTCTTTGTTTTTAATATAAAACCTATTTATCTAATTTGATTAGATTAAATATTTTAGATATGTTAATTAATTACAAGAAATATGACATGTTTTTCTTAAAATACTATACTCATTTTTCTTAATATCTTTCATTTCTTACTTATTTGATTATAGTTGAGAGAGTATTTATAAAAATAATTTTAAAAAAATTAATAAATATAAAAAATAATTTTATATTTAAAATTAAAATTAACTCAATAATTAACATTCTGTATTAAAGATCAATATTTTGTCTTTTTTGGCAAACGTTTAGGTGGCTATGGGATCAGCACCGCGAAGTCACAAGACGACACTACACAAGAAAATTATTCTGGGATCGTCATCAACTAATCCGTAGATACTAACTGACAAACATAAATAGCCCAATTATTAATTAACAAGGCGTCGGTGGTGTCTGTTTCTAACTTATGTAATATGCTAATTTCGACGTTTAATATAAAAATTTGTTTGGTTTTTATTTTAGTTTTAATTATAAAATCTTAATCTAATTTATCTCTCATTTATTTTTTTAAAAATAGTGCTTGTAATAATAATAGATCTAATTAATATATTTGATTAGTAAAGCTATTTTAGAAAATAGGGTATCTATTTATTCAAATAACTAATTTAATTAGTTTTCTTAATCTATTCAAATTAGTCAACTAACACTTATATTAAGTATTATAAATATACATTATTTTATCACTAATTTATTATGCTATAAATTATAATGATGTATGTGTGTGTTGATGATAACAAGCAGAGTGCGAAAATTGATGAGAAAAAGAGGAATCCGGCGAGGCGTGATGTGCCCAAAGCCAAATGAAATGGGAAGGAACCGCATCAAACACGCACTCAAAGGATAACAACTTGTGATGATTTCAATTTTTTTTTTCAACCAAAAAAAGCACATTTTTAATCTCCTGACTTTAACATTATTAGTCTCATTTAATATAAAAAAAAGGTCGACTCAACAAGTTGAAATGATGATTATATAAGTAAATAATGAAAAGCACACTCTAAATTAATTTTTTTAATGTAATTATTTTTATAAATGCTTAATTTTTAATATTTTATTACGTATCTAATTTTTTTTAAATGCTTAAATTTTAAAACATAAAAATAATTATATTAAAAAAATAAAATTTATAGCATGTTTTGTCAATATTTAATTGTAGAATCACCATTGAAGGTTGTTGAGTTAGCATTTTTCATTAATGAAAGTCATGATGTTAAGATCAAGGGAATTAAAATATAGTAATACACTTTTCAAATTTAACAAACTAAATTGAAACTTAAAGCAAATTTATTTGATCAAATATATGTTTTAAATTTTTTTTTTTGCAGCGATGAATCATGAATAATATGGTTCAGTTCATTTTTCAGATCTTATGCAGTGCACACATTAATTGGATCCGTGATAACTATTTAATATTCTTTTTGGTTTTAAATGTAAGATTCATTAAATTTATTTTGTAGTATAAATTATAGTATAATGTGGGTATTATATTTCGAACTGGAGGAATAGTTAATAGGGTTTTTTTTTTCATTTACGAAAATTAGTTTAATTTTAGTGGTATGGTTTTAGTTAACTGTTTGTTAATTTTATGATTGTATCATTCAATGTGGAAGCCGAGCACTAATGAAAGCACGACCCGCCGATGCTTTTTGCACTTTTGGTCAACCGGTCCACCAAACTTTTCCTTTATCCGATTCCGATCATTTTTATCATCAAACCCACAACCTTTTATTCCTTTGTTTTTTCTGTTTTTAAGTAGCACTAGGTAATTTCATTTTTTTTCAAAGAAAATACAGTGTGTGGAAAAATTAATCATACAAATAAAAGATGAAATAAAATTGAGTTATCAATGATTAGTATCAACTTATGCATTGATATTTGATAGAGAGGAGATTTTCATTTCATGAAAGAATGGGCCCTGAGATTTTATAAGGAAGTTAATAATGTTAAATTAGGATTTTATTACACTCTTAAGTTCTCAAATTCAGTACTGAATACTCAAATTTTTCAAAAAATATTTTTTTTAAAAAATACTAGTTCAACAAGATCCTTACCCCTTCTTTCTTAATTCCTTTATCTGGGCTAAGATGAGAATGCGTTGATATTAGAGAAGCGTGGACGGGAGTGGACCGGACTGCTCGTCCATTGACCTCTGACAGGAGATCGAGAAGGGGTGAGACACGCGCCGAGGGAGCGTGAGTTACAGTACATGGCTTTCAACTTTTGAATATGGAAACATTTTTTCAATTAGTGATATAAATACTGTAATATATTCAGTTTAACATTAATAAAATATTGGAGGATTTTGTTTTGTTTGAAGACATATACAGATTAGAATGGGCACCCCCCACCAACTCTGGTGCTCCCAACATTGGACTCTACTAACTGATATGTGAGGCCACTTAAAGTGCGCCACTGATGATGATGCCTGCTCCCCCATCCCTTTTTAATAAAATAAGATAATTATAATAATTGACCAAGAAAGAATCACACCAAAACGACACGACAAATGAGATCAGTTGCAGTACAGATAGAGATAGAGATACAGATGAAATGAAGTGTAGCTTCAAGACAATGTGGTTTCACATGCTCCTTCTCCTTCTCCCAGTGCCGTTGCCAGCATGCCATTCCACAATATTCCCCAAATCCCAAACTTCTTTACCCTCCAATATCCTCACATGCACACATACCACCCTGCCCTCACCAAAAAGGGAAAAAAACAGCATCCCTTATTTATCCTTTTATACATATACACACAATCTGATCTCAACGGATTCTTCCCCCTTCTGTGGCTCCTGTTGAAGCCCCACTTTCAGTGCCATCCTTTTTTCTTTTTTCTTTTCCTCCTTTTGCCATCATTTAATATTTTATTCTTAAACAGCATACTTAACCCATCTTAATAAATTACTGCCTCATAGATGTGTCAAAATTCTTTCTCTAAAAGAAAATTTCTAGCCCAATGCTGAAACCCTAAGGTTATAGACGGACAAAACCAACATTCTTGAGACAAGTGCGTGTTATTAGGCCTCTCATTTCCATTTTACCTCCCCCTTTATCCTTTTTTGCCGTTTCCATCAAAGTTCAAGAGGATGAATTCTGGCGTGTGGCATCGGTTATGCTTCTGGTGATTAACACCTTCCTCAACAACAAACAATGATCGTTAATTGATTTGTCAGTTAGTCATATCCATAGGACCCTGAAGACACTTGCATAAATCTAGAACTCTTCAATGTCACCACCGTATCCTTTTCTCCTTGAACTACCACTTTTGAGACCTATCATTGACGATTCTAATGTGTCTCAATGCTTAGGTTTCACTGTGGGCATGCACGTGGGAGCTTTAAAAACGACCCCACGGTGCTGCCCCTAGAGCTTAGATTTTCAGGGAAATTAAAATCTCCCCGCAAGATACAATATGTGCCACAGTTTTCATGGATCCCAGCCCTGGCTACTTCCTAGGCGTCCAGCCTAGGACATGACCAAGCATGAAGGGTTGTATTCTCAGTCCCCCACAAAGGATTATTGTTCAACAAAGTGAGCTACCACCCCAAAAATTAAGGCCCTCTGACAAAGGCATTTGACTCCTGCCATACACAACCTTGACACTGTCAGTGAGGGCAACTCTGTTTTCCAGATAGGCTCCACAATCAGATTCAATCAACAACCGTGAATAGCAGATCAAGGTGGAAATGGAATACAAATTCACTATCAGTATAACGTTTGCTATTATAGGAAAAGTCAGCCACTTAGGTTAGCAACATAGAAGATAAATTCACATTCTTAATCAAGAGTCCGAAGATCAGCTTTGAAGCAAGATAAGGTACTCCTTTTTTTAATATCTATTTAATATAGAATTCCATTACATCAAATATTATACCATAATCATCACATTCGGGAATTCTATTACAAGGTTTCCTATGCGGATAATATCCAATTCATTTGATGAGGGGAAAATGAATGAGGGCACCTTTTAGGTGCCTTCCGTTGTTCTCATCCATGGTAAATCTGTGTTGAGAGGAGATGGCATGCCCATTTGATCACTCGAAGAGCTTGAGAATTTTCCCTTGTTGGACCACAGCCAGATTTTTGAAACAGAATAGCTCTCCCCCTTACCCACGCTCGTAATCTTTTTAGCTTCTTTATCACCCTCCATTGAAAGCTTATCAGTCTCTTCTGTTCCATGCGAGAGCTTTCTGTCATCGTTCAGGGTAATTCGCAGGTCTGAGTGGCCAAGCACATACTGGTAAGACCCCATTGAGAAACATCTTCTTGCATCCAAATTACTGCTACTAGTCTCCCCTCCTGCATTATCCCCTGCATCCATATCAAGCCTTCTGAATTTACCAAGTCTTACAGGGAGAACAGCTTTCTCTACAATTTCTTCAACTTCCACAGTTTTCTGTCTGGCAGTTACCCCACTTGCTCCATTGCAAGGGCACCCATCTTCTTCCCTCGGATCATCAAAATAAAACATCGGGTTTTCGACAGAGAATCCTGGGCTGAAGAGGGTTCCTCTACAGAGAGGACATGTCGAGTTGGATAGGAGCCAGGTGTCTATGCAATCAATGTGAAATGCATGGCTGCAGGTAGGAAGCAGCCTGAGCTTATCATTTTCAGAGAATTCAGAGAGACAAACAGCACAGTCAAATGGTTCTTTCAGACCCACAATTTCTCTATACTGGAAAACAGGAAGCGCGTCGATGTAAGCTTGATCCAGCCCTGAGTCATGGAGATGGAAAAGTTGCTGGAGTTGCCTCTGCAAGGTATCGGAGTTAGAAATGTCTTGGTGTCCATTAGACTGAGCAGATGGACCGGCTGATGGGTGCTTCGCGAGAAATCTGACAAGCAGATGAAGCAGACCAGATACGAAAAACAGCAGGGCTAGAATCACAATAATGAAAAGAACAGCCGGACTATTTCTACTACTGCCACCAGACGGAGGTGAAGACGACGACATTGATTCGTTGCGGAGAGAACCTGGGAATGGGGATGGATATGAAGGCAAAACCGGTGGCGGGTAGTTCGAATAACCATCCTTTTTCTGGATTTGATGCGGAATCCAAGCCATCTTTAAATGGGTGTGGTTGAAAAACCAATCATAAATGTTTCTCGGCATCCTTCAGATCACAAGGCAGACCTATAAAACATGTTAATCGCTCGTCATCGAACACAATCCTACTTACATTGTGAAACTGCCAGAGCCAAAAGAGAACATTCCCCGTCTACCACGCCAAAACTCACACACAGCTTCAACGCTCAGATTTCAAAGAAATTATATACACCAGAAAGGGAATGGAAGATGATTGTGAAAACGAAGCAACGAGTAAGCTATTGTATTTTCCCCCCAGAAATCATCATTTCAAATGAAAAGGCAATCAGTGACGGACGGGGCAGTTAAAAGAGAGAGAAAGGCTTATCAGAATCACAATCAACCTAGCTCATATTTGGGCAGTCCACCAAGCGTGCGCTTGCCTTACTCCCTGAAATTTTGAGCCGGGAATGCTAACCTTTCTGCAGGCTAGCAGTTTCCACCCCACGAATGAAAACCCTAAGCCGGAAGCATGATGGGATGCTTAAACAGGCGAAAGGAGGGAAGAGGGAAGTGAAAACGCGAAAGGGGTTCTCTGGAGAGTGTCCCTGTCCCCAAGGATGTACTCAGGTCCCTGTCATGTTTCTGGTAAAGAGCCAAGGAAACCAAGGAGCCAATGCGACACTGGGCTACAAACTGCGAGGTTAGCGATGACAAAATATAACGCTGTCAATTCACTATCCCACTCGCGAAACCAGAGCGTGATCTTCACTTTCGTCCGTGTTACGATTTCATTTCATTGGCGCTTTTTCTCAGCCTTACTCTCATTCACCCTCCGCTTCCCGCCCGCCAATGCGATTGAGTAACAAGGTCAAAGGTCTACCGCCCAGTTTTACGATTTTGTCCATTAATTAAATTAAATTCTTTCTTGAAAGTTGTTTGTCTCATTTTTATTTTTCAAAGAACAAAGAATACCATACACGAGTGCTTTCTTTTTTGGCCAAAAGAACACCATATACTTATTGCACAGCATTTAATGAAAATAATTTAAACCCTCTGTTTGAATTAATTAGAGGATATTTCGGTCAAGCCGAATAAAGACTTATTTACATCTCACCCGAATAAGACTCAAATTTCATATGCTTATCTTGTCTGTAAAACTTCTTTTTATGTACTTATTCTGTATTTATTTCTTAAATTATGATTATTTTTTTTGAAGGCTTCTATAGTGAGTCAAAATCTCTAACCTTCGTTCAAAAAGAAATTGAAATCTCTAATCTACCTAATTAAACTAATATAATCTCTTTATGAATTAAATCAAGCGTCTCATAGTTACTTGGAGGTTTCCTGTACACTATGCCAAAATTTATACTTTGGGCGAATCTAAACAAAAGAAATGTTTTTATATAAATACGCACAAGTATACATTTTTGCCCAAGAGAGAATGAGCATAATTAATAATTTAATATGGCGAGCTAGTCAATAATTAATGAGGAAAAAAAATGAAAATTGATGCTAGAAATTTAAATTAAAAAAAAAAAAAGGATATCAGCGCCTGCGTCTATTATAGTAAGGAAGAAGCAAGAGCATGGACCAAAGGAATAGGACTGACGAGTCGTACCTCTTGATATGTGTGTGGTATTTTTCTGTACTAACAATGACTTAAATAGTAATAAATGCACTCTTTAATATCCACACTATTAATTAAAATTAGTTTAAAATAATAAGTAGGTTAGAAATATATTTTTATAATAAATAAGAAAAATGATAAAAAGGAATGTGTTGGAAAATATGATATGAGAAAAAATAGCAAAGGAAAAAGAATAAATAATTAAAAACAAAATGAGAAAAAAACATTAAATGTTAAGACAAAGTAAAATTGAAACTTATAAAATAAAACACACTCTTTTTTAAATTTGAAGGGAGTATTTTCTATACCAAATTATGGAATCACCATTAAAATAATTCTAAAATAGCTACTGATCAAGCTGTCATATTCTTTGAAATTAGCTTAGTATGCGTAACAAAATAAGAAAATAGAATAAAAAGTTATTTTAAGAAAATACTTTATTAATTGAAAAAATAATTAAGAGTATATAGTCATAAGTATATTAAAAGGAAACGATCATACAAATTGAGTATTATTTATAAATGATGGAACTAAATGATTGGCCACCCAGGGGGAAAAAAAAAATCTCATCCTTGTTACGCCACCCGGGGGAAAAAAAAAAAATCTCATCCTTGTTACGCCACCCAGGGGGGGAAAAAAAATCTCATCCTTGTTACTTTCTAGTTACTTCCTCCACAAGAGCTTGCGCCTTTTCACAAACAAAAAGGGAAAGGGCAAATGGTGAAGCTGGTGCAACTGATATGCCGGAAAATTTTGTAAACTTGTGAAGATAATATAACAATCTCCATGACATTTTGTTCCCGTTACTTGTAAGAATGGGTTATCTTGTCATGGCTTTGAATGATGTACCTTTTCTTCTTAATCTTAGATCTAAAGCAAGTTAGGTGAAAATTTCCAAAGCTATATCACTAAGCTAATTGTTAAATGCTACAAGGGAAGATAATTAAATAGGATGGGAATACTTGCTAAGTGTGTGCTAAGAGGAAATAATCAAAGCACATGGCCCACAAAAGCCTTAAGTTTCCATGCTCTGAATCATTTAAGATAAGATCTATTCCCTTAAGCTACCAACTAACCACCACCAAATTATATTGTAGGTCCTTGTCTATATAGGTTCAAGTATGAAAAGAAGAGAAAGGTTTAGCGCCTGCTACAAGTGTAATTCCTTCTTTCCATTCATTACAAGGAGGCTGCTTTATTCATTCATTAATACCCTTGTTGCTTTCTTATGGACATGGAGGGGTTTTATGATAATCATTATACATAAAGTGAGTTTGTGTACTCACAAGTCATCAAATATAAAAGCAACCTCCTTGATATGGATATGAGCTTTCTTTTTGTGGTTTTCATAGTTAGTGTGTAGTCACAGTTTGTTTCCTATTATCCTTCTTTTATAATCAAAGGTAATGTAATAAATGAGAACGTTATGCTTGCGCTTGAAGATTCACATCAATGGCTTATCTAGTCCAGAATCCAGAACCTAAATTAATAATAGCATAATGCATCTTTTCTTTATCAGTTACAGCTGTTGATACTTGCTGTCTGCTTTTGTGACTTTAACTTCATCGTAAAAGAATATTCATGTAAAAAGAATTGATCTCAAAAGTGCTGAATTATGAGTTCATTAGTAATAAAGCTGCATTTCAGTGGTGCTGAAATTACTACTGAGATGAACTTGGAGTCCTGGGCACACATGTTTATTTTACCCGCTAAAGTAAAGTGAACAGAAAATACAAGTAGGAGTAAATCAGGTAACCAATGTACAGTGAACGCCTAAATCTAACACACTAAATAATAGATATTCAAGTTTCCCACATGCCCTGTTTGGAAGATCCTCTTCTTGACCCATAAACTTGGACAAGCATAATTAAGCACTAGTCCTGTGCTTCATAAATCAAGGATTTCTCTTCTTCCTCTTTTATGACGCTGATCATGAGAACAACTTGGCTCATACTTGGCCTAGCCTCTGGAGAATGATTAATACATTTTATAGCTACTTGAAGCAAGCTCACCATCCTTTCTTCACTGGCATACTCTGATATCAGGGACCTGTCAAACACTTCACCCGTCCATTCTTCCCTTACAACACGCTCAACCCACTCGGTCAGGTCCATCCCATTGCTCTTCACCAACTTCCCAGTAAGTAGTTCAAGAAGAATCACTCCAAAGCCATAAACATCTCCCTTGAAGGCTTCTGATGCACCAGCAGCATAAGAACCGGCAAAAGATGAACTCTGCTGAATTTTAAGTTCTTGATCATCCATAACCATAACGCCATACTCGCTTATGCAGGGCTCCATGTTCTTGTTTAGCAAAATGTTGGACGATTTCAGGTTTCCATGGGCGATCCCACATTCTTCAAGCTCTTGATGCATGAAAGCTAACGCCTCTGCAACTGTAGCTGCAATCCCAAGTCTACTGGTCCAATCAAAGTCTTTTGAGGAACCTGAAGAACATGAACAGGCAGTGCCAGTTGATTAATATACTTAAAAGAGTAAAGCACAGGATTCATGAAAGGGGGGAGTCAAAAACTAGTATATATGATATTTACCATGTAGAAGCTTGAACAAACTTCCATTCTCCTGATATTCATACCAAAAGTTTCTCTTGTTTGCAACAATAGAAAGCAAGAGGTAACACAGTACAGAATGGTGCTTCACTTGGCTCAGCATTTGGATCCTTTCTTTGAAGTCACGGCTTGATGTTAAGTCATTAATCCTCTTAACAACGACCATCATCCCATTGTCCAGCATCACTTTATAAAGACTACCAAACTTTCCTCGGCCAATCAGTTCCGCAGGGGACATCATCAATTCCTCCAATGTAATATCATTTACATTTGGCCTTGAAAGAAACAACAAGTATTGTGAAACCATCCCACTCTCAGCAGTGACTGATAACTCTGGTCTGCTCACGCTTAATTTGTATCCATTTGAAACATAGCTAGGCTTGTCAGTAGTACTGTCATCAGTTGCCTCCTTTTCTGCTTCAACCTTATTTCCTGTCTTGTTTCTTTTACACAGCGCAAGAACTACAAAGAGGATGAAGACCAAACACAGAACAGCATAGCCTGAATACATAAGAATCTGGCTTTTGGAAGGACCCTTCGATTCTTCTGAATCAGATGGTTTGGCATCGGATATAGGGAGAGATGAACAGCTTTTTGGCAAAGGGTTTCCACAAAGCTCAGGATTTCCCAAGAAACTATCCGCAGAGAAATGGTTTTGCAAATCTGCAATACGGCCACTTAAATTGTTGAAGGATACATTGAAATAGTCCAATTTGGAAAAGTTTAAAGGGGGTATCTCTCCCCGTGAACTGATTATGTTGTGCCAAAAAGGAATTCAGTCCAGAGATTAAGGACATGTTTGGCAAGTTCCCGGAGAACCTTGCTGGAGATGTCGATTTCTTTCAATCTTCAAATTACTCAGCAGCATGGCAAGTGAGCTAGGAAGGTCCCCAGAAAGTTGGTTACCACTTTAGATTAAAGTGAGTGAGATGCTTGCAGTTTCCAACCTCATTTGCTATTCCTCCACTTATGTCGTTGCCATCGAGGTTAAGAGATGTGAGAGACGCGACGAGGGGCCGCAAATTGCAAAGCTAGCAACGTCAAGAGTTCCAGCTAAATTGGACCTGTTAAGAAGTAGCTTCTGTACTGAGGCATTTTTATCATCACATACACGCCTTGCCACAGGTCCCAGCAGGGATCAGAGCCTGGCTTCCAGACCAAATTAGAGTTCTGGCGTCCATTGTTGTTAGAGAGTTTTGCAAAAAGTTTATCAGTGTGCTGCTGACCTCGTCCTCACACACAATTGCCAAAGTTCAGGGGAGAAGGAATGACACGAAGATTATCCACATGGAGAATTGTTCCGTTTGGACTCTCAGACAAACGAGTATGTGGA